ATTTTACATATTTATGAGAGTATGTCCTCATATTATCACGCACTTTCTTGTGAGCACGCATCTACCTACATGTCTATGCATAATAGGTAGGTAGATATACTGTACAATACATATATACTATATCTATATGAGAAATTGCATATCTACTTGTGTTTGAGAATAAACAAAAAAATATATATCTAAATATATCTCACGAATTATTTAAACGAATTAATTAAAAAAAAAACCGACTCCTGTGAATCTGAGTTGAAATCAATAAGGGAATTATATTTACTTAATATATATTAGCAGGGGGACAAGGGATTGTAAGTAATGGGATCGAACATCCCCTAGCCAGAAATATGTATCAGATCGACCTCAACACGGTTCCCTCTGGAGACCACCACGGTTAATTCTTGTAGAATCGTCGCGATGGACTAACTGAACTGCTTTCATTCTCACATATCACCACTTACTGGTGCCCTACAAGCGTATATTGATAGCGCAGGTGAAGTTATCATTCCATTATCGCTCATTAAAAATATGTAATAACGAAGATAATTGTCAAAATTACTTAAATTTAGTCAAAAGATTATTGTACAACAAGAATAGAGTATTAAATAAATAGCGTAAGGTCAAAAGTTCTTAAATTACATTTATTTACAACTAGCTATTGCCCGCGACTTCATCCGCGTTTCCATCGTTTTTCGTAAAATAAGTAGCCTTCCTCACGGTTCAGTGGTTTTGATGTAACAGACACATTTCTCTTCACTGCTCTGCTCCTATTGATTGTAGCGTGATGAAAAGTATACTATAACCTGCCCAGGAGTATGAAGAATAATTGTACCAAGTTTCGTTAAAATCCATCGAGTAGTTTTTGTTTCTATAACGAACATACAGACAGACAGACAAAAATTTTACTGATTGCATTTTTGGCATCAGTATCGATCACTAATCACCCCCTGATAATTATTTTGGAAATATATTTCATATACAGAATTGACCTCTCTACAGATTTACTATAGGTAGGTATAGATAGCTTATTTTGAGAGGAAAGACAGTATGTAAAACATAAAAGGACAAGACTAACTGTTATCAAACATACTTATGTCAAATAAAAGATAGTTACATGTATGATATGTTATATCTAATATATAAACACCTATCTATACTATTAAAATCCATTCATTTATTATTTAAGAACCGCACTTTTGTCGATCGACCTATAACCACTTCTTCTTCACTTCTTACCACTCATCATAACTGCCGGTCAATGCTTTCCTTAATCTGCCTTTTCCTTTTTCCTTTTTATCTTACCTTCTATAATAATATTTGAGAGTAACAGAAAATCCGTCACGTCTTATCCGTCTCCTGTTTTCCATAAATTAATTAAGTACAACGTCATCATCTAGCATTAAGTCCGCCTTTTGTACCAAAAAGTTACCACATAAGAAGGTTTTGCCAGTAGTTGCTACAAGTGGCAGGCGTATTGGCAACCGCAGTTAGGCTTTTGGTGATGTTTTAAGAGAGACGCTGCTACTCATCCCTAGACGATTCTCTTAGTCGCCTCTTACGACACTTACGGGTAAGGAAGGGGTCGCTTATATGCCAGAACCACACAGCTATCTACCTTACTATATTAATATTTGAGAGTGACAGAGAGTCCGTCATGTCGTACGTAGGTATCAATTGTCCCAACATTTTCTCCCTTTCGTTTACCATAAATTAGGTATAATGTAGGCGTGTATAATATAGACGATTGTGTCGAAAATGACTAATAACTACAATTATTACCAATACCAATAATGAATATTGTAAAAGAAAATTACGATATTTTTTTAAATTATTAAATGTCAACGGTCCTATTAAATAGGTACCTACTATGGTCTGTATTGTGCGCCGGAAATCGACTTGATTGTCCATTAGCCGAGGGAATGTGCAATATGGCGTCTATTCGGATATTATCCGACGTTTGGCAAAAAATACAAATATCTACGAATACGACAAAATAACATGAACGGATGAAAGTGAAGGTGTCACATTTTCAGAGTTTTACTATTCTGTGAATAGATAGAAGTGTTTTTTTTTTTAATGGGTGATAATGAAACGGTTATCTGCCTAACGGTATACTCTGGCGGGGCACCAGTGAGTAGTGGTAGGTTAGAATATAAAGGCAGGTCAGTTAGCCCATCGTGATGAATACACCTGGAACTCAGGACGTTGGTTTCCAGGGGTGACCGCGTGGAAGTCAACCTGACATGGTATATTGCAAGCAATGGGACTAGTGGCCCATTTTACAAACAATCCCATTTGGGAGGAGGACCTCCCAGATGAGTGTTGGGTAGGTGGCCACTGTATGTGCATGTTAACATAACATATACTTACAATCGATTAGCATAACATATATTTGATAGTATGCATATGTTACAATGCATAGGTATTATATACCTAGGTATACCTCCATCCATACATAGTCGTATAAGCAATAGCGAAAATCCGAAAACGCGACATGTTACCTTCACCCGTTTATGTCTTCAATCGTCTAAAACACAAGCAGTTATTACCTCTAAGTTATTAATATATTTTTATACAAATTTGAAATATTAGTACCTTGAGTAGATTAATTAAATTTTTACTCCTTTAAATCATGACAACAGAGTAGTTATTAGCAATATAAATTAGGTAGGTATTCACTTTTTTATAATTAATCTATCTATATACTTATAGGACCGTTCTTTATGGCAGTCTATGGGAGAGGCTTATGTCCAGCAGTGGACGAATAATAGCTGAATTAATGATGATATACTTATAGATATGTTGTGTATATTGTAGTGATATAGATAGCCATGAATTAGTAACCTTAAACTAAATCTAAACTTGGCTACTTTTTTTGTAAATTATAAATATAAATTATTGTACCAAGACGAATTTGTTTGCCTTTACATCAATACATTCGTTCTGCTAATAATATACGTACCTATTGCTAACAATTTACATATTATTATGTAAATAACTGTCGCATATTATTTTCTTTAATCAGTCACCCTCAAAATGTAACAGTGCGTGAAGGAACGCGTTAAATAAACAACAAATCCAAAATGGCGGACGTAAACGATAACCGTTAATCGGAGACTCGTAAAATTAACTGAGCGCGACACAAAAGAAGTCATGTTCCACGTGCATAGAGTTCAAAATCTCTATAAACAATATTGAGATCTAATTAAAACTTTAATTATATGCTGTACTTATCTAGAATTATGCTTAATTTGTGATACTTGAGTACTTATTCAAAATTATTCTTGATATTTTAACATATTATGTTTTAATTTGTTTTATTTTATCTAGCTAGATACGTTACGGTATTTATATTTATAAGTATTATAAAGTTATGGCTTTTTTATTTTAATCTTGATAATTAAGAAATGTTTTAATTATGTCGACATATCCAGCAAGTATGTGAATAATAGTTAGCTAACTAAATATTTACATACCTAATGTAACAAGTACCTACCTAAGTATAATCATAATACAAGTTTAAGTTCCTACTTGCTTCAATACTAATAAATTTTAAATTGATACAACAGAGTCTAAAATATTTACAAGTGTACAAGAAAAAACGGTAGGAAATTTATTTTTTCTTATTTACTTGTATAGCTAAATATTTACATTCGCTTTATACCTAAGTACATATAGGTATTGTGTCCGATAAAAAATTACACTAGGGGTGCCTACCTGCCTATAGCAAATAATTTAGTTGAAAAGACACTAAAATAGGTCCCATAGATTCAAAACTGTACTTTTTCAACTTTTAGGTAATCTAAATATCTTTCTATTTCCAATATGTTAACAAATAATAATATTGCGAGGATTTAGCTATAAATTCGTTAGATATAAGTAGGTATAGTTATAGGTATCTCCTGTTGTAACAAAGATTTAGAATTCACATTTGTTTTTAAGATTTTTGTCATAAAATTTTCATTTTAGTGCCGTTTACATATTTAATACCAAATCTATTTTTAAAAACTTGTACGTAAATAATAACTTATTTATCTACTAAGTAATTTTATTCTAAGAATAATAGGTTAGTATTGCTTTCTTTTCTTTATGCTAGAACAAAAATGAAAATTATTTTATTTATATACATTAGAACTTATTGTAAATGAAATTATCTATGCCTATATTTTATATATATCTCCCCTGGAAACCATCGTGCTGAATTCCAGGTGTGTTCATCACGATGAGCTAACTGTCCTGCCTTTTGATTCTCACTTATCATCTATTATTAATGTCAATTACCATTTCATTATTAACTATAAAAAAATAGGTAGTCCTTTTAGGGCCTCATATAGGTCAACTACCTGTTGAATTAAACCTAAGAAAATCATCTTTTCAATCATCATTAACTTTACAATAAAAGCTATTTAGTCAAGTATATTAATTGAAAGAGGTATTGTAAAACATCAAGTAGCAATTACAAGACTATTCTCATAAATTGTTATATACCTGTACAGAGTCGATTAAACCCCAGCCTGCCATACCTAGATATAGCCCTTATAATAGTCCGTTTACACCAGCAACAATAAACTCTCGGTCCGAACGCCGAGTTTCGACAATTAACCGATGAACTATAAATGAAGGAAAGTGGCAATTTCTCTAGTGACAAACGTCGGCCTTATCGACGCTAAATAATGGAGCAAGTAGTTAGACTCGCGTCTTCATCCTGGTAATTAACAGAGCGCCTCCCTCCCCACTCCACGCCACGCCACGCCACACACCGCACTTTGCCCCACGGCGGGCTAAATTAATCACACCACGAATCTCGCCCCCCAATCCAGGGCCGGATTAAAAGGTTTTATTGGAGCGGAGAGTGTGACAACCCGACGCACCTAGCGATCCGCCATCATCCAATCACAACGTCACAATAATGAAACGAAGCGATCTGATTGGTCGACGCTAATGGACCACGCCCACACTCACCGCCCGTACCAGGGCTGTCACACGCCACGTCAGTTGAGCGAGGCGCGTCGACCTGTTAACTGTATTCCGTGTTAGCTTGGTGTTTTGTGAGATAAACACAACCAACGAAACATTTCGTTTTATATTTACTGTGACTGTTGTGTGATGGATCTGTGAACTGAATGATGGAGGAGGAGTCGATGTCTGGACATAGTTGTTCTGAAGACGATATCAGTGTTGGGCGGCCGTCACCGGCGCCGTCGCGATCGCCGTCGCCTCATGATTATTTCAGACCTTTAAAACGGCTGAAGATGGCTTCGGAGCCGGCTGAAGAGCGACGAGGGGAGGGGGTGAAAAGTTTTTCAATTTTGGACATTTTATCGCACAGCCCGCGTACACCACCGCGCATCGTTCGACCGTGGGACGCGTCTGGTTTCGAAAGATTGCAGCGGCTGCAGCGCTTGGCTGGTGCTGCTTTGCTGGACGGTGAGCGGTGGAGGCTGGCTGCGCTGGGACTATTAAGGCCGCGGGATATGGCACCAGCGGAATGCTGCGATTCAGCGTCGGAGCGTTCTTCATCCGCGTCTGACTGCTGCTCGGAACCGCGGAGAGCACCGCAGCAGGGGTCCACAGCGCCCCACACTCCCCTGGATGCACTGTTTCACATGACGAGCAAAACATTTGAAGCTAATAATGCTGACAATGGAGGTAAGATTTATTTTGGAATTTACAAATTTATAATGAATTACCTACCATTGTCTACTTATTTGTATCAACCTACCTCTATATTTTGAGGAAGCTATATAGTTAACAAAGATATCTACATAATCTAGACAAAAAAATCCTGATTTACAATTTTGCTTAAACATGACGTACCTAAATAAAATACTTTACCTATGACAGAATCTCATAAGAAAAATAAATGAAGAAAACTGTAATACCTCTAATAAATAAGTTGTAAAATATACTTAAATCCAATGATTTGTAAACTTAATTCAAATCTGTTTTTAATTAATATCTAGGTAGATAACTTATTTTTTTTAATAAGTACTTATATCCACGTGGTTCCCCCTGGAAACCATCATGAACAATTCTTGTTGAATTCTTCACGATGGGCTAACTGACCTACTTCATCTTCACCTATCATCCTTCACTGGTGCCCCGCCGGTGTATACCGATAGCGCGGATGGGATTACCATTCCATTATCATCTATTAAAAAAAATAAGTACTTATATATTAATTAGGTAATTAAATTGTCTTAGTTTTGCAAATATTACTTGTCTAAATGAACATACATACATAAACTTATCTCAAAATTACTTCTTTTCCCGTGAATGTCGTAAGAGGCGATTAATGGTCGAGGAATGGGCAGCAGCGTCCTTCTTAAAACATCACCAGTTTATCTGCGATTGTGAACCCACCTGCTAATTGCGGCAACTATTGGTAAAATATTATGTTACATAGCAGTATCATAATTATGGTAATAATAGGCGCCTATTTACTACCAAGGAAAAAATATGAAAAGCTTGCTTTTATAAGGACCGTCCAACGAATTAAATGGCAGCTTAAGAAAATAAATTTTAATTATTAAATATAAATTATAAACTTATTAAAATATGCACGATGCTGAATAAAATAAGAAATTCCACTGCATTTCCTTGTAATTTATCTAATAATTGTAAATTAAGTAATGTTAACTTACAAAACTAACTACCTAGTATTCTAAATAAGCAGATCGGTTACCTACCCACAACAGTAAGTAACATATTTAATTCAATTAAAATTCAACTTAATTGAATTTGTAAAGTAATTTAATTTAAAATAATTAGAATTACAAATTAAGAGCTATCTATTTTTGTGTTTAATTATGTGCCAGTTGGAAAGTAAAAATTAGTTGCAGTATCATAAATATTGTTTAATTTTAAATACGAATACTAAGTAAACCTACATAGTTAAATAACTTAGTAAATAATTAAATATTTACTTACCTTAAATCTTACTTAAATTACGTTTCATATTAAAAATGCTGTAGGTAGGTACTAAAGCGACAAATTGTTCAAGACATATGAATGGGACAAACACTAATTGATTGTTTATGCAATTAATTGTATTAATTAGTATCTATGTAAGCTTGATTGTGCCATAGGTACTTATAATTGACAGTTGTTGTTGGCAATTTAATGATGTGATATAGTTATTTATTATTTAATTTTAAAAGTATTAGACTTTTAACAGTGATAATTAGATAGATTTATTATTAATTAATTTTATAAATGAATATTAGTAACAAAAGTTACATATTAATAATAATTACAAAAAAATTTAAACTTTCATGTACTTACCTAATTTATCTATCACCCTTCACTGGTGCTCCGCCAGCGTATTAAAAGTTACCATACCATTTACACCCATCAAAAAAAAATCTAAGCGGTTGTTAAAAGGTAAAAATATTAAAACTTAAAAAAAATTAAAACCTTTAATGAATGGAATAATTAAAATATCAATATTGTATCTTTTCACTCTCGTTTTTATCACTGACATCTTTATTTAAAATACTGTTGATAATATAAAGTTCCAAAATATAGGTATAATAATATATGTAGGGCAATAATTATGCTCTCTTATTTATTTTGTAATAGATGGCAACTCCAGTTGTTTTTTAAGAACTTTTATCTATGCCCTTTGCTATACAAGTGCTGCAAAAATTTTGTTCAAGAAATAAAAAAATCATATAATATTATCCGAAGTCTTTATAATATTATTTAAAAAAATATCACCCCCAGCTTTTAGTAATTTTTATTAGTCACTGCAGGTTATATTACTAAATAATTTCTTGATTTAATCAAATTAGATAGCGAAATGTTATTTTTATAATAATAAAAATGCTTTCAAATCTATAGCTACCTAACATCGCTAGAGTTCAATTATTCATTATTTATTCTTAAAACATCATTAGAATGAGCATATGCCAATTTAGTGCACATTATATACACGTTAATACGTATTTGATGACTATGTGATTATTCAAATGTACATTAGTATATTTATATGTATATTGGTATATACATATGTATTGCTGTAGTCTCAATAAACATTAGCTCTCTATTTCTCGCGACTTCACCTACGCAGAACCTGATTTCTTCTTCTCCCATTTCGGTGGTAATTAACCGAAATCCATTATATGTGCTCACTTAAGTTTTTTGAACGTACTGTACAAAATTTGCTAATGGCAATCACCAATATTTAGTAAATAAAATACATTTATTTATTCATTCCTAAATTCTTAGATTTACAGTTAACAATTTAACAGTTACTATCTATAATTTTTAAGTGACTTTCAAAAGAAAGAAGCTCTCAATTCATCGGAATTTTTCGCAATTATGACATAACGCCACTAACTAGACCGATTTTTATAATTAGGTACTTTTGACAATCGATAAAGTTTACTCGCACACAATTATTAATTTTTTGACGATTGAAGCGACTGTTTTCTTTGCAGAGCAAAAAACTGCTTGCAAGTAAAATCTGAATAAGTCTACTCGTAAATATGTATTTGATTGCACGTTAAAAATTTTCATTTTTACACATTAATTAGTTTTCTTTTAATTAAGTTTTTGTTTTAATTTTAGGTATTTATATAACACTTTTTGTTCATAAATATTCACAAATGATGTCACTTTTCTTGCAGAATATCTTATACTAGCGATTCGGCCCGGCTTCGCACGCGTAGATAGAATTTTCGAAAATAATATACAGCCTGATACATTATCAGCGAGTAACATAGACTGTAAAATTTATGGTATTATGAAAGTCATATATATATCAAAAACAGTAATGGTCCTAAAATACTACCCTATGGAACCCCATATAATACTTGGCTACAATCTGACATATATTTAATTACTGTCTTTGACTTGCTGCACAAATAATTCCCGTATGTTTTGTGATGCATTAAAAATTCAGATTCAAATTCGTAACATAGATACAATAACGTATACTCGATGCTTCTGTAAAATATACATTCCATGTTTCAACAGAAAAGAAAAAAAATATTATCTATGGACATTTTAGATTATACCCACTATCTAAGGCCATATTAATTAGAAGCAACGCGGTAGGTACCTAATACTTTTTATGTAGGTACATAACCAATGTTTTTTTATCATATTTGTAGTCAGAAGCGAATTGATGGAAGCGCCATGAAAAAAAAAAACTGGACAAATGCCTATGGTGATTATGAACTGAATACCAATGAAGATATTATTGGCGATCGAACATGTTGAATGCAGAGTGTGTATTGCCGAAATAGATGATTATATTATGATTACAGAGCGGCTTTCGTGTATAATTGAAAGATTTCCGAACGCATGTGCGGCCCCACACCACTATTAAATTTGTACCCGACAATTTTTTTATTTGTCGTTGATATTTTATGATACGAATATATATTAAATTCTTACTTGAAAAAAGATTGGTATTATCTGAAAGAAAATTGTAAATTTTGATATGTCATTAAATTATAGATAAGTAACTAATGGAGATAATCATTGCTGAAACTTACACCTAAATCAAACATATACAATATATTACTTACATAGCATTTACAATATACATATGTTAAAGAAAATAATGATCGATGATTTTGCGTTTATTAGATTAGTCTGGTGGTAACATAAATACCTACCTACTAATGTTATAAATGTGAAAGTGAGTTTTTTTTTCGTTACCTTATAGCAAATATTAAAAATTTTGTCCCACAAAATATCGACTTCAATTGTGACAAAACCAGTTATTTTGATATAAAAACTAAACTACTGAATTTATTTTGATAAAATTAAACAAACTTATTAAAATCAAATATTATAACGTAATAATAAAAAAAAGTATCATTGATACATTCTCTAAGTCTTTAATTAAAGTTTTCAAATTCTTAATAAATCACATTTATAAAAATTAACCACTTAACAACATAACAAATCAATGAGCTTTTAATGACCCTAAAAGTTACACGCAGTCATTCGTCGGTCTTTAAAAAAAACATGTTAAATTGACTCTGTGAGTGTAATTTACACGAACTATGCAAAAAATCTATTGTTGCTGGCACAAAAGAAGACATCATAGCAGTTAACAAAGGTGGTTCGAATTCGAATAGACGTCAAGGCGAAATGTCTATGCTCCATATGCTACAAGATTAAAATGTATAATCGCCAAACAGCCATTTGTCATTGTAGCACCTATGAGCATAGGCGCTTGATTGAGGAAGTCATTTCTTGTTTATGAACGGAAATAATATTTTTTTTTATCATCCCTGGGTGCATCACTGCGGGACATTAGATATAAGCAATTTCGTATATTAATGTTACAAACACAATTTTGTTAGGCAGGTAGATGGATACATATCTTTTTATATTTAAATGGACAAATTAATTCATAGATCCAAAAGTTTACAGACCTGCTTTTTATAGTACCTAAAGTTACGAATAGATCAAATAAGAGTTCTGTTATACTTTATCTTACACTTAAATATTTTTATATAAACTGGAATACTATACTGAAAGCTCGTTTAATGGAAAATCTCGACTGTTTGCCTTAGAAATATAATAAACTGGGCTTCATAGAATTGATAAACTCCGATCCCAATGATGACTAGGTATTATGTCTCCGTTTGCTATAATTATACATCTATATTTTTTATACTACTAAGGTG